TAGTACGTAAATGATATCTCAAATGAGGAGAGAGAGAGAGAGAGAGAGAGAGAGAGAGGGAGAGAGAGAGAGAAGAGGTTGTGAAAGGAGGGAGGACATGAGGGAGAAAGAAAAAAAATACAGTAGTCCACATACTTAGGCAGAGAATGAATGGATCAAGGAAATTAAATTTTAAGAGCTTCTTGATATTTTCCACAAAGGGATCTTGTGGGTTGTTCAGGGAATCAATGTTCACTCCAAATGATGTGCCAGTAATCACATCCATGCTGTAGGCCCCAAACATGCTGAGTAGAGAAATAAAGACACAGAAAATTAAGGTCAGCACCTCCTTACTATCTTTAACCAGCACACACAACACAAAGAACATGTAAATTCATATGCCCAGGCAAAGACAGGTAAAGAGCCACACAACTGTCAAAACTATCGGCTGGATCATCTAAAGAATCTATGTTCCTGTCACAGTCAGTCATGAGGTGTTTATTAGATGCCAGTCATGCAACTGGCCCTGTGCTGGGTTCTGGGGACACCAAGGCAAGTTAGACCCTCCTGTGAGCAATAGGAGGTCAGTCAGAGGGAAGGAGACCCATAATCAGGCAAATTACAGTAGTGTGTTTTGAGCCTGGACAATAGTAGCCATACTGTGCGTAAGCAGGACCAAGGGTAGGTAATGACTCCTCCCAGTGGAGTCAAGAAAGGTGACATTGACAAGGGTCTTGCCTCACCACAGTGTCTATACTCAGAGCTGATTCCGCTTCAGCACCTGACAGAACAGCAGCACCCTGGTCTGAGTTGTCTCAAGTTGCCTTGAAAGCAGACTCATTTCTGTAAAATGTAAGAACTAAGAATGTCTCTGTTATAAGAAATAATTAAAAAATTACCCCAAAATCAATTTGGGGGAATCCCATAGGTAAGTGATCATATGGCCCCAGTTTCCCCAGATCAGTCCCACTTTACCTGTGTTGTTCCTGCATAGTTAAACATATCTTAATCTAGACAATAAATGACATGCTAACCCTACCCATAGTCTATACAGGACCTTTTTAATTTGAGAATAAAGAAAGGAGAAGTGGTGTGAAGGTGAAATATTTCATTTTC